GCTGAAGTGCAAGTCCCATGCATACAATTAAAGACCAACACAGGTTCATTATGTATAAAAGATGAGCATTAAAGAAGTGAGTGTCGAATACAATATATTGAGTGATATCATGGCTCTCAAAAAGATGCAAAAATGCTGTTCTGACCAGAAACTGAACACCACAGGATCACTATGAAAGTATCAAGCCAGAGTCTAAATCCCACACATTTGACGACCAAATTAGTTGAGCATTCCTTGACTACCAAACTAACTGAGCATTCCTTGTATACACAGTCTTTTACACTGAAACTGACAATTCAAATCACCACTTTATGAACTTTGTACTTGGTAAGCCACAGTCTAAAATCACCATAGTATTCTGTCACGGTACCATTTAACATTTGCCTTTATTGCATCATTCCCACAAGTTTCATACTCATGAATGCGCCCCTAATCCCTTATCCATAATACATATCAAATTGTTGAAAAAGCAATATTCAACTAAATTCAGCAATAATTGCACACTTGTATCCAATTACAAAGCACCCAAGTGCCTTCTTTATCAAGATGCACAACACTCTCTTGCAAGTCCTTTCGACAGTAGAATAACGTTCAAGAATACCATTTGCCCCGTAGAATGAGCTCCGTTCTCGGCTAAAAATAGAAACACTCCATATAACAGTTCCAAAACCAATTAAAGCACACTAAAATGGCTCCTCCTTAATCCTTACCACTACATTATTCTATTTATAATAGCCGTTACACAATCAACCCTAATTAAATACAGGTTACAACCACATGAAAATCAATCAAATAATTATCCAATTCTACTATATCCACCAACTCTAATCATTTAAAATTAACCCAATTTTTCTCATGATATCAAATTTACAAATTAGCAGTTTCCCTACTAAATAAATTAACTAAAATTACAATTAACCTAGCTTTTAACATTCAAAATAACCTAATTACCAATCATAAAAACAATCAAACAGTAATCACAGCAAAATAAAAATTGAGTTACCCAGGATCCTGATTAAGCATATCACAGATCTCGATGTTCATAGCCCAATCAGGTCCGATCAACATATCGGACGTAGCTCTTTCCACCATAGAATTCACCATTTTTATCGAAATTCTTCTTCAATCTTCCAAAATTCAACTAAATTTCAATCAAATCAATCAAATTCCGGCGCCTAATTTCGCCGGTAATCAAGAATTCTCCGGCTAAATCTCCGATCGGTAAAACTGAACTTACTGGATCGAATTATGAACCCTAAAATCAAAAAAAATTGAAATCAAAAGTTCGATAATTTTCAAATTTTCTCTCTCCTCACTCTTTCTCTCTCCTCTGTTCCTCCTCTTGGAGGATTCGATAGGGAAAATTAAAAATGTGAGATTATCTCAAAAATGAAATTCATAGTTATTTCCTTTTCATATAGCACGAATAAAGGAAGGAGAAAGGATAAGATTGTGACACGTGTGAATTTGTTACGTCATTTATGCCGGTATTTCTCTTGGAGCCGTTGGATTGGAATTTTTATTTTATTTTTGTTTGTTTATTTCAGCGTTTTTGTAACTAATTTTTGGACGGCATGGCTTTTGCATTGTAATTTTTGTAGGTGATATAGAATGGGCCACCATATGAAAATCAAGAAGTCAATTTATATTGGGGGGTATGGATTTTGATTTTTTTTTTTTTCATAAATCACCCAAATTGATTCTACGTATAAGTTAAATAGGAAGTATAACATTATGAGAAGAGTTATCGGCTAACCATAGATATTGTAACAAACCTGGTTTTGTGACTTTCGTCACCTACAATTGCACGATTACACCACAAACATTGAAAACACTTCTACTCTTTTTAATATCATATCAAATACTCATCATTTAGGAGTCCTCGAAGCATGTGTCAATGTCAACGATCATTTATTTGGAAAATTATGTCATGTATAAGTTTGATGGCCTTTCAAAACAACGATTAGAAATGTATTCGAATAGGTTAATTAGTAGTTTTATAGCTACATCCATAAGTTTTTTTTGTTTGATTACATGGATACAGACATTTTTCATAAAGTTTCATAGCAAAATAGTTTAGGAAAGAAAACAATTTGATTTTGTTGTATAATAATCATGTAGTACATGAACTTGTGTACTTGTAACTATCAACCAATCACAATGCGGTTATACTTGCATACGTTAAAAGATAATTAAATTAAATTTGAATTTAAAGCATTTGCAAATGATAGAGAGTGAGAATTTGTAGCACTCAATTTATAATTAGGATAAAATCAATTTTAATCATAATGATGATTTAAGTTTAACAAAATTGGGTCGGAGTTTGGTGAACCAACTGGTCGCCCTCTAGTTGAAGTATCGGGCCCTTTTTTCGTTGCCTAGGTTACACCTTTGGAATACCCCAGAAAGGAATGTTTCTATACTTCCTTCAATCTTCACTTTACGCCACGCTGACCCCCCTTTCGTCATAAGGTGTGGAATTAGACCAAGGGTTGGTTTCTCAAGTAGGAACTAGTCCTGCTTCATATATTTGATCACTTCTTCTTTCTTTTTATCTTCCTTCAGGTTCTCTAAATTAATAGATCCATGGTCAAAGGTACCTTTATTTCCTAACTCAGGGCATAGATTCTTTGCTAGATCGTCGAGACTACCCGGAAGTCAAGTAAGGGAGTCTCGGAACCTGAATAACACACGCTTTTTGTAACATGTACTCCGTGTAATACAATGTCTTACAGTAGTCCACTATGTAATAAATTTTTCATTCTTATTGACGTTTTATGTAGTAAAAATAATCAGAAGATTCATCTTATATCAACACATGCCATTAGTAGGTATCGTACTTTTTAACCGACCATTCTACTAAAATGGACTAGATTAATGACCAACCTTGATAGTGAAAGATTAATGTCAAACAAATACAACTGATAAATCTGGTCCAAACTATGAATAATTCACTTGCAAACACCCTTATAATACCCACTATGAAAGACTATTTACGTGATCCATCAAAGTGAGAATTTCACACAAAAATACACGAATATATATATTTGGTACTTCGTATTTTTGATGCTTAATACGAAGTATACAGTTATTGACATGAAGTCACATGAAAATTAACATTTTCGAACATATACTCCATTTAAAATTGTTGTTTAACACATTGTTTTACAAGAGATCGGATCAAATAAAATAGACGGGGAAATGTATGGACTTAAATTCCAATGATTCAATTTATTCGGTTCAATATTTCAAATAATTAGCCTTAGTTAAGTAGGAAAAAGTAATCATATATAGGAAGATAAAGATTTGTCCATTGTCAGATATGCATTGACCGGCAATAATTACATTTCCTGTTACGGCTGCTAGCCATGGCTCAAAATTAAGATCATAATAATAACCTTATAGATAGGCATAATTAAGACCAATTGATTGATTTGCTTACTCGGTATGTATTAATTACTTTTTGTCACTTGTAGTAGCATGTTGGCATCAAATATTGTACAGCAGTATAGTGCATGTGCCATGGAATCAATGTTGTCTTCTATCCAGCCTAAAACATGATCTTAATTCTTAAGTATGTTGGACAGGTACGGATATTAGTTGGAACATTAGAAATCCCGAAATTTCCTCGTGAAAAAGGCTTCTTACTATTGTTGTGTTCTTACATGAGAGTCTTTTTATGAATTTCAATTCATGTTGTATTTTGTTTATTACGTGCTATTGTCGCTTTTAGGATTTAATTAGATTTCCAATCATTTTGTGTGAGTTCTTTGTATGAAGATTACTTAAACTTAAGTATTCGTTCTTTTTCAAAGCTCCATAAATAAAAATCCACTCAAAAAAAAAATTGAAAAACATTGTAAAAGTTGCATGAACTAATAATTGACAAAATATGAAAGGTTAAGAAGATTGATGTGAACAAATCTTAACTTTGGTGAAGATAGGATTACCACAAACATACCAATTTTATTTTATGGGATCCCACTATGCCACATTACTTCCCTTCTCCATAAATCTCAATTCAATCGTTTGGGTGGACTTTATATGTTTGTCCATTTGTAGCCTTTGAAAGCTCATGGAATGTCAGCATCCTATACGCAATAAGTGTCATGGAGCACTCAATATAGCATTATAGCACTTGATAATAATAAGTTCATAATTATACATTTATTATATGGTCTATTATTTAGGGGCGAAGAAGTATTATGTACGCCGTATTTGAATTGAGGAAACCGTAAACGATTTTAGCATATGTAATATCGACAATGATGAGGTCAAGGACTTGACGAGAAAGCTTCTCTTTTGGATGGAATAAAGGAGTGAAGGAAGGCCAAGCTGGGTTCAAGATAAGCTTAGTTAAAACCAAACATTGTTTATGATGCATAGATGATTAGATGCTAGATGCTTTCTCATCTCCAAAAGTAATTCTTACTACTCTTAAATACGAAGTAAACAAAGTAATATATAGAAATTAGTATTTCATTCTAGTGTACAGTTCCTTGTATAATTCTTTATTCTTGTAATAGCTTTTTCAACTGATCTTTAACAACAAAAAATTATGCTAGGGTTGATATAGGAGGAAACTGTACTATAAAGCAAAAACAACTTGTGCTCTTTGCAATTTTCCTTTAGGGAGAGGAAACATCCACAGAGAGAGTAAAATAATAATACAACCATCGCCTAATCCGCCTATTGCATCCTATTAGCCTTTAGCGGACCTTTTTTGCCTTTACCAATTGTTAATTGAACTTGGGTAGCCGTTCTTTAACCTTATCGGCCCTTCTCTTAACCTTTTTTTTTTTAAGGTGAGAAGAACAAAGGCTCTCTCTTAACGTCAACCAGAGCAGGAGACTCATTCATCACACTGAATAGCTGGATGCTCCAACACATCAGTATATCGCTGCCACTCTGCCCATAAGCACCATCTATTTTGGCCCTTTTGTTTCTTTAGGGGAGGGGACCAGGAAAAAAAAAAAAAAAAAAAGCAAAAGTATGTCCAAAATTCACATTATTATTAAGCTTTTCATGTCAATAATGTTAAATACTTTACGTAATCACAAGTGCCATACTAATATACAGAAGAGATCACAATATGATTGTAAGCAATCAGAAGAATATTCAATAATACAGAGGACAATTTACATGCTGATGGGTACTTGCTGAGATCTATTCGAGCAAAAAACAATGCATTATGCTCCTTGTGACTAATAAGGAATAGGTGTCCGAACTGTTGATGGGCCTGATTTCATGTCCTCTAGAAGGAGTTCAAGAAGTGCTCGAGCAACAGGACCTTCATTTCCTGCATTTTATCCAGCACCACAAAGGCATTAACCAATGTTTAGACATAACTTATGTTGCAAAATTCACTCCTGAAAATATAACTCATACAGCACGTGTATGAATAACATTAAGCACCATTTGATAATTTTTCGTAGTACACTGTCACACATATCTATATCCAAAATTCTTATAATTTCTGTATGATACTGAGCTGATCAACAACAACGTAGACAGGTTTTAAACACAAGTCGAATGTACTAGCCCCTAGAGAGTTACCTGGATAATTAGAGCTAACATCTCTACTTTCTCATTGTAACATTAAAACCTTAAGAGAGCATTTAAACTAAGCAAAGTTCTTACCATTACCAATGACCTGGTCATCCCACTGAACAATTGGACGCACTAGGACACCGCTTCCAAAAAGCATCATCTCCTCAGCCTTTTTTCCTTCTTCCACGGACACATCCCTCGTGCTTACTCCTCGAATGTCACCCTTCTTAACCAGCTCCTGTGAAAGCGTAAGTATTCTCTTGGCCGTACAACCACTAAGGATTTTATCAAAATCTTGGCATCATAAGCTCTTTATCAAACGTGACAAAGGCCACATTCATATTTGGACCCTCAGCAACAAATCCTTCAGAGTCCAACCATATAGATGCAAAGCAACCATTTTCTTCAGCTTCCATCTGGCATAGTGCATTCGGAAGGTAATTGACACTCTTCATCGTAGCAAACACAGGAGGCTTTATTGGAATGGAAGATGTAATTACTTTGATGCCCTTGTGATCAGATGAGGCTGAGCTATGAGTCACAATGGCGTAAAATGTTGGCTCGGCACACCCAGACGGGGAGAGATGAAAGTCACCATGTCCTGCAGAAAGCCAATACCTTAAAGAGCCATTTCTACACTTAGAAGCACTTACTGTCTGAATCAGTATGCTTCTCATGATTTCCCTATCAAACGGTAAACTGATTTTTGCCATAGATGCAGACCTCACACAACGATCAAGGTGTTGATCCAATTCATAGAGATGACTGCACATAAGAAGTAATAAATCGGGTCTGAGTCCTTTCCTATGAGTAAACTGGGATATCTAATCAACGTTGATAAGATCATTAATAGAGAAATTTTAGCTTAAGAATAAAGAATAAAACTTGTCATTTCATCAATGAATCATACATTTTCAGTAATTAAGTTTTTTCATTTTTGTAAAAAATTGTGGCATTAGATCTATCTGCAGCTTCAATTCTACAACCTCCATCAAACACAATTGTTGGCCTCAATAAGTTGACCTCAAACTAACTCATAGATGGATAGTTAACCCATCTATAAAGCACATTGTAATTGTCTATACACAATTAACTCAATGGTAAAAAATCAGTCATATACTCTACAAGGACGAATATATATATGCACAAAGTTTACACCGCACAGATAAGAATGAGTGCCGTGTCATTTGCTACCTTTTGCCCTTTCCTCCCCTTCTGCTATAAATCCCTCAATATTCAGGCCTACAAGCTTATGCATAACTCGAATCAAATCAATCCAATATGAGGAGGAATCTAGTAGCCAAACTATTATTTACACAAAGTCACAACCCCTCTTTTGCACCATCTAAATTATCTAATTAAATCAAAAATATTTCGACAAAAGCATATTAACAATGTAATGTCATCCAACAAAAAAATCATAAACAATACCCTTCCACTATAGCCGCGGTGTCAAAAATCCCATGACCTCTATGTACCATGTGATCATCCATGGGGATCACCATTGCCGCAGTGTCTGTAGTAATTCCACCAAATATACTAGAGTACATAGCCAAGAATTGCTGTTTGCCCTTATGCCTCTCTCTACTCAATCTTAACCTCTCAATTGCCTGAAATTTTCCAACATATCGAAAACTTTTATTCCAATAATAATCATAGGAGAAACAGACTTGCTTCTAGTATCATCATCGACATTGAATCAGGAGCAAAACTTAATCAATTGCTGGATCATATTGACCAAATAAAGCACTTAACTAGTAGAAATTATGATACTGTATTATTAGTCTAATTTATGATATTACCTATTAAACTAACAGTTTACATAAAATAAAATACATCATACCTCTTCACATGATAAAAGTGGAACTTTTATAATTGGGGTTGTTAAATCTGTCAAAACAAAGTTCTTTACATTAAATAATAAACAAAATTAAATTTACAATTTCGATCATCAACTGACAAGATATTAACACTGAATAGCAAGAATTTTGTACAACAAACAAGAATCAAGTTTAATTACAACTATACAAGCTAACTTAGTAAATGTGATAATTGAAGGAAATTGTATATATGCCATAAACCCAAAAAATAAAGGTAGGATTTTGGACTTACTAATTAAAGATTGAGCTTGATTTGAGAGTCTAACAACTCCAAGATGAGAGCTTGGAAGCCTAAATCTAGGTAATGGGTGGTTTATTGTAGTAGAAAACTGGAAATTATAAAGCTGGTAAAAGGAATTATTGTAAATTAGTTGATTTTGTGCGATTTGATTTGGGGAGATTCGAAGAGACGCAGCCCAAGAAGCCATGGGAGTATTGGCGGTTAGAGGAAAGTGTAAGTGTGTAATTAGGGGTGAACAATCCAAGTGCTAACACATATTACAGTAACAATCCATTAACATCATAAATTCATAATACATTATAGTCATTATTATAATTTATTAGAGGTGGTCATTAGGTGGCCGGGCCGGGTTGGACTGAAAAAATCAACCCATCCTTCAGGTCGGGTCAAACTTCAGGCCAAAATTTATGTGCCCAAACTACCTGGGTTGTGCGGGCTTTTCGGGCGGCAAAAAAACAATTAAAAAGCATAAAAACGCTTTTCCAAACCCGCCTAAAATTTTCAGAAAATGGGGTCGGGCTCGTTCCAAGCCAGAAAATTTTGCCTAAAACCCGCCCAAAATCGGGTCGGGCTCAATATGATTGGCAGCAATAACATGACAAGATTGATAACATCAGGGGCTCACAGCTAGGGATGGCAACAGATCGGATCCGTTTTTGTATTTAGGATCCATATCCGACCCGGACCCAAATCCAATGGGTCCAATACGTTTTGTCTAATTTTTTGCAATAAATGTAATGTTTGGGTCAAAAAATACATTTCAAACTTCCGTAAGGGGTTATTAAGTTCAACCTAGTTATATAGGTAATCTAAAAACACAAAGTAACCAACTTATACACTTATGTTTTGAAATAAAAATTATAAACAGTGGAAAAAGTACGATGTTACAAATGAGCAAGTGAAAAAATAACAATGATGTTTCCGATATGAACATCCAAAATCCATCTCTTAGAAGGGCTAATCTTCATCACTACTAACATCATCAACATTTTTAATAAAGAAATAAACAATTTCAATTTTTTTTTATAGGGAAATTATAAAACGGGTGAATGAATCTGGATCCGGGTCTGGGAGTTAGACCCGGATCCAGATTTGTTGTTTTCAGCAGGACCTGAATCCAACCCAAATCCGTCGGGTCCAAAATTTGAAGACTCATATCTGTGAAAAACAGATCTGGATCCACGGATTCGAGTCGTGTTCAGATCCACTGTCATCCCTACTCATAGTAGGCCAGCAGTATTACCACATGTCCAAGCAATCATCCAACAACAACATATTTTTATTTTAATTATAAGTTTATGACCTAGTGACCTACTAACCGTATAGTCATATACTCGTATACCCTGTTGTATTTTGATTTTTCATATTTTTATTGTTTTTTTTTAAATTTATATTAATAATTTAATTTTATTTAAAAATTATATAAATATTAAGATACAGTTTAATGGTTTACGATTTGGTTTAAGTTTTGAAAAACAAAACCATACCGCTAAAATGCGGTTTGGTCCGATTTGGTTACTGTCCAGACCAAAACTGTGTACAACCTATGTGTAATAGCCTAATAGGCGATTGAGTCTAGGACTTCTTGAATGTACCCTCGAAATTATTTGCCAAAGGATGTTTTAACTTCGATTTATTTTGAAGAAAAACATTTTCTAATCAAGTATACATTTTTTTTTCAGGAATTCTAATCAAGTAATCAAAACTTACATGTATTGGTTTTTTCCTACAACGTAACCTCTCTTTACTAACGACCTAACGTAACCTCCCTACCCCTTACTTTTACTATTCAATCAATATTTCAAATTCCTCTTTCTCTCTTTCTTGCTAAGAGGCCAAGTAATACTCGTATAAAAAAGAGAAGTAGGGGATATTTCTCTTTAAAGCGATTCACGAAAAAAATTAAAAGATTAATGAATTGCACATGACTGCTAAATACGGAGTATATAATATGGGCACGAAGTGTATTTATATTAATTATTTAAGTATGACCATGAAGGAAATGTCCGTCGATCAAGTGTAATTACTAATTGTAATTAAGAAAAATATATATGGAGATTAATTATAATCGGTTATTTTAGGTAATCATAATGTTTTGCTAAAAACCAACTATGATTTGTGAACTAATGCGATTAGTTTACTACTAATAATAATCCAGTCCTATGAGGTTACACATATGAGTATATGATTGAATTAAGATGCATAAATATGCCTTAAAGCCTAAGAGATGCGATTATGTAAAGAGTTGCGATAGTTTATTATAAATATGACTAAGTTGACATAAATGAAATAACACATCTTTCATTAATCACAAAACCTTCTCTCACACATAACTACCAGTAAAAGCAATAAGGAATTGTTCCTTGTTCCGTACTAGCATACGTGGAGATTCAACCATTGCTCGTGGCCAATATTAGAGGAACGACCATTGACGTTCTAAAGATCACAAATTGAAAAAAGAAGTGCCCTCTTGCTTTGTGGAAATCACGCATCGAGGGTATGATATTCTAATCTTATAATTCATATTATTATATGTATGAGATCTTATTTTAGGTGCTGAGAAATTGTTTCTTGAAATTCCGCTAAGTGCATCTAATATGTTCCTACAGTGGTATCAGTTAGCCTCTTGCGTATAATAATATGATCATAATTAATTCGATTAATTTGATGCGTATACTGTTAATTTTAATTTCATTAAGGGGAGGAAGTATTGTATTATTGAGATTAAAATTAAAAACTCCAAATTAATTAGAATGGAGATTTTGATTAATTTGTTATATTAGGCCTTTTAATCAGACTAAACCGCATCAAAGATCACCGATTAATTTTACAAAAGTTGTAAAATTAATTAACTCAAAAAAAAAAAAAATTAAAAGTAAAGGTTTGAGTGGAGCAGCCACGACTGGGTGGCAGAACCATTTAAAATGGGTCACGGTCGCGGCTCCGATTGCGATGATGGGGATATTTTTTTCTTTAATTGTTTCAAGTCCCTTTAGCAGCATGTACACCTAAGAAAATAGAAATTATCATTAGAAGAAACCGTAATTTACAACCAAAATCAAAATTTAGTAGAATCCTAAGTAATTACCTGAAGTAACTTCACATTAGGGAATTGAGGGCTGGATACAATATGCTGATATGCACATTTGATATGCCATTCATGTAATCTAAAATGAGGGCAAGACCGGCACTATCTCTCTGAAAACGTCTCGCGGAAAATTGTGTTTACGTAGGAAGTCCGTTGTTATCTCGATCTCGTGAAATTTAATCTACAAAAATGTAAAACACAAATTCTCTAAAAAGGCGGGTGTACGTTAATTTATTGTAAACGGGTTAAAGTTATATTAAAAATATTTAAAGTTACTCTTTATATTGCAAAAATTTATATTTTTCTATTAATAAATTTTATATTACAAAAAACTTATAATGTATTATATCAACTATATTAGTCTTTATAGTATGTAATCACGTATCTATAAGAAATTACACATTAAAATAAAATTCAAACCAGCGACAAATTAAAAGTTACCCTTTAAATGGTTAAAGTTACCATAATAATAGTTAAAGTTACGCTCAAACTAACCATTTTACAATAAAATTAATGTATACCCGTTGCACACAAGACTTATTAAGTGTAAAAACACTTCCTGCAAGGTGAAAATATAACGTAGTCTATTCGCATATTTTGCTTCCAAACCAATTTTAACATAAAATATGACTCGTTTAGATTTTTGCATTAGTTCTAGGAGTACTATAGCTAGTCAGCCATCTAAATGGGTGGATTTTTGCATGTCTTCTTTTTAATCCATGTATATGTGCTCTTGTGCTTCATATTTTTTTGGTTTTGCTTCCATTATAAGTGTACCATCCTGTCCTCTAATAAACTTGGTTTGGCAGCCTCACAATCCCTATATATATCTCAATGCTGTCTTTTGTCCCTTATCAACAACAAATAGCACCTCCAATATGTCCCCATGCATCTAAATATCTAATAGCCTGTGATCAACTGAATTGAGCACCGATGGAAACATCAATCTGAATAAAAAATATTAGATACTTCCCATCTCACACTGGCCATTGTTGAGGTTGTTTTATTTCAGGAATTGGAAACCACTTAAATTATTTTATTATCAGGAACTGATAACTGAAATTTATCATCTAAACTACAAGACTTTGGGGTATTTTGGTTGGGAATCACTGAACCAGCCACTTGGTCAGAAACAACATTCCGTTTCCATTATGAATTAGAATGTTTCTCCTTAGACCTTACTTGGATTGAGGGTAATATGTTAAGGGGGTAATAAAAGTCAAACTTGAAAAAACATAAGTAATTAGAGGTGGTGTTGTATGAGGCATGGTGTTTACAAATGAAATAAGGTAATTGTGTCACTAGGAAAAGAGAGAGATGGAAGAATTAAAACCCTTATAATGAGGGTAATAGTAACCTACCCTCCCCTTAGTATAACTATTACCCCTAAAATGAGGGTATTAGTTCGTCTTTCTTCACCTCATACCACACCATTACTACATAATTTTTCTTACAATCGCACCATCACTATCTTCTCCTTCCTTATTTTCACTTTCATTTTGCTTAGTTTGACTTTTATTATCTTATTAATACATCTCCCTCCATCCAAGCATGTCCTTAATGGGAATTATTAACCTTTATTGACTTAACACTGCTCGTCAACTTGATCCTTTTAGACTTTCTAATCATCAAAACATATTATTTGCAAAGGGATCCAGAGAAAAGGGAAAGAGATTTTGTAGACATGGAGCATTGTTTGTAGGCTCATAAACGCTTTAGTGTTTCTGCTCATTTCTGTAATCTGTCGTTGAATACGGTTGTTTCCATCCTTGTTCTCTACATGACTGCAATATTTTAATTTTTTTTCCCAACTACCCCTTTATATCAATCAATGTAGATGCCAGGTCATAGACTATTGTGGTAAATTTCTCTGTTTTTGGTTATTGAACTAACTTTTCGTTAGGTGGTTCTGCCACGTGGGATTACATGAGCAGTAATTGGTGCAGTTCTTTCCTATCGTTCTTCATTTGTGGATTTCATCTGTGGTGAAAAATGGCTATGACTCTTTTGAATGTGAATAAGATGACGAAGGCAGTAGAGATGCTGGAAAATTAGATTAAAAATATAACGTATTAGCTAATCATTTAGCCAATACAATGATGTTTTCGACTTGTAAACCTCAAGAATTACAATGGGAGGTTTGA